GACCCAAGAGTTTGAGAGAGCGCCAATTATCATTGGCTGAAGTGGAAGAAACCCCCTGAAATCCACCAACCGCATCAGCGCCAGGCCAGGAAAAATCCGCAGACGAATCCTCGAGCACTGCATGGAGACTCTTCGTTAGGCTCGGGTTAGATTCATTCGCTGTCCGCCTGGCTCCAGGGCGCGATGTAAGAGTCCGAGCAATCAATGAACGCCGGCAAGCCTAAGATTCATTTCATGAGAACGACAAGGAGAGGGCGTCACGACGTCGAGTCTGCTGAATAAGATCGCTGCCAAAAAAGACAAAATGTCGTTGCTAGATTTACAATGTAGATGGCCCTGCGTCACGGCATTGTGGATCGAAGAGATGCAGGGAGGGGGTGGTGCGAATGGAGCACTGGAATGATTTGAGTTGATATCATTTTCGTGTCATTTTGTGTACATGTCGTATGACTTTTTCCAATGCAGACACTCATACGCTGGACTTAACTTGCAAGTACCGTAGAGGTATGTCCGTCTACACAGAACAACTAATCCACCGCGAGTACTCACCACCTAGAAATCTCAAAGGCTTCGCCATTGCGTATGCAAGCAGCGTGAGGAATACGATCGACTCCTGCTACATTCTTACGTGCCGTCTCTAGTCCCGAGTAGGCCAGGTTTCCAAACTATGCAGACTAGTTGGGAGAGCCGGCCGCATGACGTACGACTAAGCCACGCAGCCTTGATGGTGTGCAAGGTGTTGTCTGCACTCTCGCAAACAAGGACTTGGCGCACAGAATGCTCTTCAAGTAGAAAACCCCCTAACGATTCCACGTCTCACCTACGTTGAGATTGAATTCATTCTTTGCACTGTCTGACGCACCTGTTCTAACTCTCTCACGCCAACCCAAGGGAACCGCTTCCCATATCTATAAACAAAAATTTTTTCTTCTCGTGGGTACTCAAACTATTGTGGCCGTGTATTTGGTGGCTAGCTGAGGCCAGAGACCGAGTCGATGAGAGATGTGGTCACTTAAGTGAGGATGCTTTAGGTCGTACTTGTCGAGTTGATAAAGCTTCGCTGGGAATCGATCTCGTTGGGAGTGAAATTTTGATAGGGTGAGGAGTTTTGAATTATGGCGTCGTAGGCCAACTTCTTCGGTCCTACGAGATTTCACTGAACTTGGCTCTGAGAGAATATTCCTCTTACAGATTCGTGGGATAGCGTAGATAGGTGTTAAGCCTCTATCCAAGGGCTTTCCCTTGAGCCATTCAAAAAGATTAAGAAATCGCTGATAGTGGAATACCTCCAATGTCATCCTTGACACCCTCCTACTAGTGCTACACACCACCGTCTAACCAGCAGCTGGACTTGACGATCAAATCAGACTGACATCTTCTCTGTCTGTGCGAGTAAATCTGCAGAAGGACGGAAGAATTGCATCGTTTGCACGAGATGTGAGCTGGAAGCCACGGCGCTTCCTTGACATCAAAAGTAGATGGGGTCGCGCACTTGGCTCATACAATAGACACTACTTCAAACCGAAAGTGAAAATTCCCCGCCGCTTGGGTATCACCTGCTATTCAGGGATGCAGCGAGTATGCAAAGAAGCTTGACACCACTCAGAAGACAGTAGATGCCTCACGGTCGTCGTACGCAGCGCAGGCCCAAGAACAGACAAGCCTAAAGCTGCGGAAATTGGATAACTCAAGCTTGATCGACCATGGCTCCTCAAACGGCCGGATGTGGCATGTAGATGAGATACGAAAACTATGAATGTGAGCGGCAACAAGTTATTTCGCTGGGATATCCCGCTGGACTACGGGGATTGAGAAGGTCGAAATCCATCTCTTCCTCGATCAAATCTAAGGAAGCTGCCTCCACTTTTCGTCTCGTGGCCTGGTGTCTCACTATTCGTAACATCTCAGAGTATCGCCGAGAGGGCTCGTTGGCTCGTACCCGCTGGACGGAGCGGCTATTATATCCCACACGGCCCTAGAAGAGCTTACGCGGATATCGTATACTAGAAACGGTCCACATAAGGATCCAGAGAGTCGCGGCGAAAAGGAGGTATAGCTAGAGCTACAGGATACCTATTCCCCACCTGCTCAATGGAATCGAATCATAAAGAATATACGCAAATAATCGAGACTGTGAGAAATTCTGCGCCGAGCTTGCATGCAGGATATCCAGGGAAGGAGGACGAGACATCTCCACCAACGATGGGCTCGAAGCAATCTTTGAGTATAGCGGCTTGTGCTTTGCGCGATAAACATTAAGGTCAGGAGAGATATTTTACTACGATATTCAAGGTTTGGATCGATGATCAAGAGCACTTATGTGAGGTATCCGCATTCTGGCCTCTCTGACTGTCGTAAAAATTGAAATATCTATTCCTGACTAGATTCTCTTTCAGAGAACGGCCGTGTAGTGTGAAGGACGAAATAGAGCCCGCACTGAGTGTAACCGTAAGGAAGTCATACGTTATATGAAATCAGATTACTCGACTCAGATGTTATATGATACTACCGCGATCTGGGCCAACATCAGCTTATGAAAGCTCTCGCCGGCCATGCCATTGGTGTGTTGGTAGTGGGATCTAAATGTAACCCTAAATTTCTGGCACAGTTCAACTCGTATCGGCTTGCCAAGTAGCACTACCTCTAGAACACGCCCAACGCCATCCTTTCTTCATCATCGGAATGCAATAATGACGTGCAGAGTATTCCCAGGATGACTAGTATGAGCTAATGCTTGAGAGAACAACATTCGATAGTAGTGATTTTTTCCTGAACTCAGACGCGATTGGAGTTAATGCTAGATGATTATTCGGGAAGACGAGTGGGTTTTGCCGTCTGGCCTCCTTAGGCCCCATCTCAGGACCAACTGCTCTTCATCGGTTAGCAAAGCAGCTATGATCAGGGGAATTTCCAGCTTTTCGGGAAATCACTGGCTCCTAATTCATTGCCCGGCATATTCTCGCTATTCTTCGTCACAGATGTAATGATGAAATATGCGACAGATGGAATCAAGTTCCTATTCGTAGGCGTAGTGATTTCGATCTCATACTAGGCTACGTAGTCATCATCCCAGCAGCGATGGATCGGTATTGGACCTGGATCATGATTGCAGCTAGTTTTGTGACCAATGGCAGCCAGATTATCGCGCTTCTCCCGCTCTTCATTTACATACTAATTTATTATGATGCTCACCTCTACTGGCCAGTGTGACCTCTCCGTCTAGCTTCAGCTAGGCATTTAATCTTAGAGCGAGTCTCATCCATAATCTGACTTCTCCATGCACGATAGGTCACGTCACTCCACCTTTTGCAGAATTATAGAGTGTCGAGACACCAGTCTTTTGTGCGCGCTTAGATTATCACTACTTTGCGCGCGCTAAATTCACTTATATTAAAATAAATAATTCATTATCCTGCTTTGGCGCCGTGAGACCCATGCTTGTTTTATCGGAAGATATGTACTTTAAGTAGAATGACTCAATTTGACGATTAGAACACTCACACTCAGATTTCATTTGCAGATATCACTCGAGGTTACCCTTACGGCGTGTAACCTCTTCCGTCCATACCCACCGCAGGGAAAAAGCTTGGAAAACCCATGTTTATCCGAGTGTGCTTTCATCATCCCACGAATACAATATCACGGCGAGAGAGTGTGGTGTGTGTGGGTATTTCTGGATTCGAACCAGCTTTCTCCCGCCTCAAATATGGTAGTTGTTCAAGCTACCAAGAATCTACTTTTGAGAACGGCCTGAATGGTGTACCACTGCACCATCCAGCCCGTAGACCACTTGATACTAACAAACATTGCCTGAGGCTGGATTAGGCTGAGGTGCAGAGATGGCAATATTGCGCCCGCAGTCCCATCTATTTGATGAAGGGTAAGACTGAACACCTGTACGCGGTGCCCTCTGCGAGCTTGGGAGTGAAATATTTTCCCAGAGCTAAGTTCAGTCAAATTTCGCAATTTCAAAGCAGTTGGCCCACGAGGCAATGATTCAAACTACTCTACCACGTCGTTTTTTCGCTCTCAACGAGTTTGACTCCTACCTAAGTATCATCAAGTCTACAAGTACGACCTAGTACATCCTTATCTCAATGACTACACCTTTCGTCGAATTTCTCTAGCCTCAGCAGGTCGCCAAATACATGCCCACGCCGATATTCACACCCGACGGAGGAAGCAAAGCGTGGCGCACAAATCTGGGAGACTGTTCTTTGGGATAGACGTGAGAGGGATCAGGACGAGTTCACAAGATGATGCAGAGGACGGATATAACCTCGAAGGGTGTGAAATTCCGAATTTTGGCAAGGTGTTTTACGAATTGAGCTTTGTGCGTGCCAAGGTTCCGGTTGCGAGAGTGCAGGCGACACTATAAACACTACCCTGGTTGGATGGTGCGGTTGTACGTCGTCTTGACCGGTCTGCCAAGTAGATTCTGGATAGCTTGGACACATATCTCACTCGAGACAGTAGATCGCTGGTTCGAATCCGGCCAAACACAACCACATTTCTCGCGGCATAGGTTGCATGGATGACAATGGCATGCAGGGGCAGCCAAAGGTCTTGAAATTCCCTTTGGTGGGTACTAACGGAGGAGGGTCGACTGTTTGTGTAAGCGAACATACCTCGTAGTAGTACTTGCGAATGAAATCAAGAATATGAGCGTCTCAAACGTCAAGAGAGTCATGCAATGTGTATACATAGCACCGGTCATGTGTCGTAGCTAGATAGCTGCATACACATTAAATGATTTGAAAGAAATACCCCTTTCCCCTATCTCCTAAAAACTCAACCGAGCCAGCACAACAGCTGGCCAGGGAGTATCATAGTGGTAAAATTATCATAAAAAAGACGAGTCAACCAGAAGAAAACTTCAAAATTATAAGACCAAGCTCGAAAAGAAGTTGGCAAAAAAACTTGACATAATATATTTATATTTATCCCATAAGCCCGAGCTTTTGAGCTTCTGTCAATTTGCGAAATCTCTATCTGTTAAACTACATTGGATTTAGGTCGTCTTCTTTTGTGGGTGGGCTAAAGATAATGTTTGACCAAACTTCTTCACCATCGACGAAAAGTTTGAATTGAAGGGAACTTTGTAAATGAGATGTTTTTTCGATAGAAATAACGCCCATCTTAGAATTCCCTTTAGGTATGTATCTATTTGAATGAGCGATCCCGTGGAGTCATAGAAATAGAAATCCTTACCTGATCTCAACGTCCTCATTATCAGTTTGCCTATAAGTCGACACAGGTAGATAAAATTGGCTCATTGGGCTAACAGAATACTCGTATACTGCAGCACTCGCCGGCCATCTGCCTGTCGATGGCGGAGGAAACTTTGTGGCAGCAAACTCATGCCTATCACCACTCAACACAACAACACCAACGCCTCCACGAAGATTAACGTCCCACATTGCCTCGAGTAAAACACGACGCTCATGTAGATAGCCAGCCCATGTATCTAGACTATTGACGCGCCAATTCTTGGTGAATGGAATAGATGAAATGATGAATTTCCACCTTACCCCTTCTTCCTCTGGTTTTTCCAAGAAAGCTTTAAGATCAGAGATCTGTTGAGGGCCTAGCATGGTCTTTCTGGTATCATTAGCTTGTAATCCTCTTGACGGGCTGCGATAAGTGCGGGTATCAAGTAAAAAGAAAGAGGCAGGTCCCTGTGTAAACTCAAAATATGTAGCAGTTTCTCGAAGCATGTCATCATTAGTGGCCTTCTCTACTACAGGAGGGTTTACAGCGGAGTGGTAGTGGTTCCATGGATCGATTGCGGCTTTATAAACGCCCGATGTATGACGATCCCAATCGTTGGCAATTTCATGGTCATCAAGCACATGTATCCAACTTAAATTTTGGCCGACAGCTAGCCAGTCGGGCGAGGCATAAACTTGACGGTACTCACGACGATAATCTTCAGCTGAGATGCCAAAGCGCTTTGGAACATCTATATAAATGAAATCGCCAAGAAATAGCATAAACCGGCCGCTGGAAAATGACTTTAGAACTCGTGACATATGCCTTAGGCCAGGAAAAGCCAAGGCATGATCCATTGGATTGTATGGAAACCGTGCCTTGATGCAACTGGATACAAAGAAGGTAAAGGCCCCATTTTCTAAGACCTGGCCTGGTTTTGGGGGTATGGTGAAGGATCCTGTGTGGTTGTTTGAAGTCATCCATTCGAGCTTTTGGCCGGGAGGCTCCAAGAGAGGGAAATGAATGACTCCAGTAAAGTCGGTTTCATTTCCTAAGTGTGTGATGGTTGTGCCTATAACTTGCCATGATGTCTCAGATGTCACGTGAATGTCACTTGCCGGTCTATACGAAAGAGATATCGGAAGGTGTGAAGTGTCGGGATCCCGAACGAGCAACTTGGCCTCGGTTGAGGAGATGAAGCCTAATCTAGTGAAGCTGAGGCCTTCGTTGGGATATAGAATTCTAGCTCGATATACTAGATCTGTTACTCCTAGCAAGAGGGCGAGGTTGATTGAGAATACTATCAAGGCAAGTGTGATTGATTTGGTACAGGGAAGGCCGGATAGAGCCAATCGCCAAAGATTAGCATGCCGTCCTACCACTGCAGCGGCAGGATTGTTTGTCTGAGCATTCGACCTGATTTTACCAGTGGTTTTTCTTCGGCTTACATTGCCGGCATGCTTTTCAGTGTCACGTTGAGATCGGTTCAGGATGAGGAAAAAGGATGAGGCGTAGATGAGAAATAGGGAGTATGCTAAGGGGGGGAAATGCTTAAAAAATTAGCGGGTTGCACGAGTAGGAATCAGAGGTGCTGACCAACGTGACCAGGGATCCATCTGAGAAATATGTATGCAACAAGCCGTAGGCAAAGCGAGCTCAGTACAGTTGCAGCTTTGAGTAGATCAACCATGATTCAATTGCAATTGAAGGGTTGATTAGGGGGGAGATTGCAAGCCGAGCGAGATGTGGGAGCATAAATCTTGCCGCGCCGCAATGAGGATTGATGATGACGATGACGGCATGTCACATTGAACATCTGCGACGAAAGATGGAACAGGCACTTGCCGACAGCGTCGACCTCTGCATATGCAAGGTTACTTGGCCTGGTCCCAAAGAAACCGGGTTTCGCGCAAGACCAAAGGCTAATCCAACATTTATGCCGATGCATAGAAGCTGACCTAATCATGACGGACCATACCGAAACTCAAGTTCCCGTCAATCGGGATCCGCTAAGGAAGCTAGGAGGCATCGTTATTACAGCGGATCTGCGGTGCAGACAGAAAACTGTCTTCCTCCAGGCCCACGGTTCAGGTAAGGATCGCACCGGTATTTGCAAATAAAATCCAAGGCATGAGTGCTCTAGTCATATATTGAGCCATCTACTATTTACTTTTTCTCTGATATTGTGTCATAGCTACATACGCAATCAAAATCTGATGCAAAAAATATTCGGGCGAGGCAGGACAAATCTCAATCCCTGAATAGGAAGAGTCAATATTGCCGTGTTCACGAGCAGGCATGCGACAATATTGGGTTGCCTATAGCTCTAACATTAGAGTGTGTAGTGGAATCAGGAAAGGCTCACTGCGTTATAAAGCTCGTTCCCACACCCAATAGTGCCCTACTTGAGGCCCCACTTGGCCTACATGGATAGCTGGGCGACTCTGGCTGCGAGTGCTGTTAACAGACTTCAAGGTCCGTTGTGATAATAACAGAGTCATAGGATAAACGAGTAAGAATCGGGGATTGGGATTCTGGAAGTCCTAATCCCGGGAAGCTGCCTATTACAGGTCATGTGGTAAGCCGATTGATGTTCACTAACCGGAGTTCTAGCTTTATTTGCTAGTTGTTGAAGCCAGTAATCGTGGACAAAGGATTTCACTGATTTAGTGTTGTCCCATATTGGCCCTTTTAGGAGAAGGAATACTTGATATCCGACAGCGGAGTCCCCTAAACGTTGCCAGCCCTCACTTGAGCATCTGCAGAGCTAAGACTGAGTCACGTAGCAGCCATAAGGGCGTCACTTGTCCTTGCCTAGGACCCACCCCCCCCAGTACCTCAGACGGCACCAGGGGATCAGGCTTGGCTACGTTACTCCACACACTGTCTGTGAGAGTCGGATGGCCTAGCGGTAGGTCGTCCGGGATGATCTCCCGAGCGGAGTCTCAGCAGCTTGAATACCTGCTCCGCTTGAGACGAAATGACCGTTACCTCATCATACGACGAATACACCTGACCTGGCATACTAGGATGGTCCAAGGGCTTCTTGCATTTCTTCCAGTCGGATATTCACGGTTTAGGTGCAAGTCCCCGCCCACCCAGATAGTGACACCAGCGAATGAGAAGCATGGCATGAGGGCTCCAACATCAATAATTTCAACTTTTTCCAGGTAATATTATTCCCGTCGGACAGAGGGACTATGCCTAGCTTGTCAGGGTGTAAATAAATACTGTCTGCAAGGAATTTTTAAACATTCCAACGCAGCCCTCAGGTTTGTTAGTGCAACTGGGCTATCTAGATCAAGGCTTCAAATTATTAAACAAATGATAAATGTACTTTCGTCGAACTTGGCCCTTTCTTGCCTATCATAGGCGCCTTGGCTTTTAGATGGAGCGTTTGAATGCCCAATGTACACGTAGACTATGTAAGGACAATAAGATATCAAATCAACGCCATTTTTACAAACCATTTGTCGTGTATGAGGTCATGAAAAACGATGTGTAATGTGTACACATTAGATGATTTATTTTCAATCGTGAGTACCACGACGACTATATTTGTTAAAAATTAACAATCGACCCTCATCCTAGAATTCCTGCCAAAGGAAATTTAAATAACCTTTGATCATACGGTACACGAGCGCCGCAAAGATCTCGACTTACCAAAAATGTTCTCTAAAGTACACTCACACTGTCAGGTATTATGATGATTTTCCCTTGTTGGATACTCCCAACTTCTGACCTCTGATAATCAAGGGATGAATACGATCATGTAAGATTATTCAAGGGTTAAAGTCTAGACGAAAACCTTGGGTCATTGAATGCAGCAGATTTACTTGAGTCGGTAGGGATGAATTCCAAGATTTTAGCTTTGTAATTCGACTGCTTTCCGGTTGAAGATCTCAGAACTAGGGACTAGGCATAGCGATCTCTTATAGCTAGTGAACAAGCCTAGTGGCCCTACTCATATGCAGTTGAATAAGAAATTTATAGAGCGTGGTAGCCTGTACTTCAATACTGATCACCCCGCGAATCTAGTATCGTGAGTCCCGAGCGATAATAGCCTCATCTGACTTGCCAGTAGCCACCGATGAGTGCATTAAAAGGCCCACTCTGATGAAGATCCCTAACAATGGGTGAACGTCGTTGTCAGGGCATACACTCTTGCGCCGCCTCGAGCCCGGTATCATGGCTGCTGACCGACATCTTCCCGAAAGACCACAGATTCTTGAATAGCCTGGTTGGAGGCCTTCCTATGGGTAAACTAGTGCTCTCAGAGGAAGGCAAGAAAGATTTCGCTCAGAGCTAGTCGTTTGTAGGGCAAAGGAGGAAGCTGGATAAAAGAGTTTAGGTGTTTCTTAGGCCCGTCACTGTGATGGGCGATCAACAAAACAATATAGTAAAGGAATGGTGGCCGATTACTGTCTATTTTCTACATACATCTCGGAACTGTCCACCGAGGGGATGCTACTTAAGGTGTCCCAACTCCCAATGCGCTAACCTCACTATCTATTCTACTACATCATATCCTTGATATTCCGAGTGGGCTCGTCATAGCGAATCTGGGTCGTATCGGCCCATGATTCCATATGAGACTTGCTGCAACAATATCTTGTTTCCATATTTGTTGCAACCCTGTATTTGTATGGCCAAGTTGGACATCTCTCTAGATAGCAAGGCTAATGACGTAATAATGATAAGTGTCCGTGCGACAGTCACTAGGAGATAGGCGCAGCCTGTAACAGTCACCTTCGCTTACTCGGCATTAATCAAAGTGATTCTGCCAACCCAGAGTATTAGTAATTGAATGTTAGACTCTGCCTAAATTCTTCTACTACTACAGTAGCCTAGAAATTAGTTGTGGTATCTGTTATCAAGTCAAGACTGATATTGGGATGATATTTCCATCGGAAACGCAGCTACTGGGATTTCTCTCTATCGACCAATGTGGTTGCATGCATCTTTCCTAAACCATACTTTTGAGTTCAGGTTGGAGCCCATACTCCTGATCCAATCAGACTCGATGTTTGAGCCTGTATCCTAATCTTCCCGAACAAATCCAGTAATCAGAGGCTTCGTATTTCTCTCACATGCCCCAGTATTCTGGGTCGGTGGATAATACTTTTCTACCCAGGCATATCTTTGAATTTAATTCAATCAATCGGCGATATTCATCAACTATGAAGGTGTGCTGCTGCTTTTTTTACTACTGAATGAGTGCCTGCTCGGTCGTAAACCCCGCAGATAGGATTGATGCTAGCAGCAAAATGTGGTCCAGAACGGCACAAGTCGGAGGTCATGGCCTGGGATATCATTTTCTACGAGGCCCAGAGACATGGTAGCTTGAAGTTGGCATTTAATACTGCGAGATCGAGAAAAGGTTCCCAGCTATTATATCACGACTTTATTTGTATCTCAGTACTGAGCAGGGACAAAAGCTAAAAAAATAAATTATTCAATTCTCCTGGTTTGACGCCTTGAGGCCCGTGCAGTTTTTACGGGAAGATATATAATTTGACTGGGATGACTCAATTTTACGTGTAGAACACTCACACTCAGATTTCATTTGTAGATACCACTCGAGATTAACCCTTACAGCGTATAACCTCTTCCGTCCATACCCACCATAGGGAAAGCGTGAAAAGCCTGTGGCTATCCGAGTGTGCTTTCATCATCCCATTAGTACAATATCACGGCGAGAGAGTGTGATGTTTGGGTCTTACTGAATTCGAACCAAATTCTCCTGTCTCTAACGGGCTAGGTGTTCAAGCTACCCAGTATCTACTTGAGAGAACGGCCCGGACGGTGTACCACTGCACCATCCCACCCTACAAAGCCTAACATGAGCTGGACTGTGCTCTCCAATATTCTCATGAGATAATTGTCTCAAGACCCGACCACAGAGGCCAGCATAGCGAGTTTTACTTGTGGACGTAGAAGCTCATAGTGTAGTTTCCAGCTGTGTTTCATCACTTAATGCGGATATCATAGCGCGTAGTCCTGTTTCACACCATGAGACACACTCGCGGGTTCTCGAGCAAAGTATACGCGGATTTGTCGTAGCAATATGGGATCCATTGATTTCTTCACATACTTTTCTTGCGATGTCTAGAATATTGCCATCTCTTCGCACTCGTCGGGTTTACTGGCTTGCTCGAGAGCGCAAAGAGATGGAGGTTGGAGCTGGCTGGTTTGGTAGGTATCACAGCGGTGCCAGGATTGGGTAGAAGGTTCCGTGGAAAAGGTGGCCGAATTCCACGGGTAAACACTGAGCTGAATAGCTATTCATCAAGGGGAACATATCAATGATCTTTCAAGTAACAAAAGAGGATAGGAGCACTGTACAAGGTGTGGCCTGGGTCAGAGAGGAGCCCAATGTGCTAGATAGTCACAGACTCAAGTTGTACAATAAACACACATACGCACATAGCGGTGCCAGGAGAAATTGAGCAGTTGAAGCCTAATTTAAGGTCATTGGATGCATTTCTGTGATCCTATTCAGACTTGGCGATGGCGAGTCTAGATAGCAAGAGTCAGGATGGTGATCCAGGGCTAGGTACCAAGGAAGGTCTATTTATTTTGACCTATTAATGGCACAGTCAGGAAATATTACTTAGCTTGTTGCTTGAGTGGAAACTCCTAAAACCCCAATTCGTAACTTGTATTATTATGTAAACTACATCACATCACATATTCTCTCTGTACCGTATAATGCTCTCCGTATATTCTCAAACCTATGGCCCTACTATCTCAATATCCTGATGCATGGTGAGCCGAGGTACAGTCACATGGTTTGTATCAAGTGGTTCTCATGTGACCCCCATTGATTGATATCCAACATTCAGCTAACGAAGAGTTCGATTAGTTGTCAGTTTCGGGTATTTTGTGTGCTTTCCATTGTTCTCCTCGGGCCAATTAATTAGTGTCTTTTCAAGATCTAAATTTAACTTTTTATATCATGAGAGATCCTGAAACTGGGCTTTTTTCCAGGGATATCACTCTGAAATGTGCCTGCTTATGCAGCATAGTCAGTTTTCGTCCGTGCGTTTACACCAATAGAAGGTTTCAAGATGCTGGTTCATTTAAGCATATATTTCAATGTCTACGCACACTGTGCTATTGAACACTTTCTTGCTTCATCGTGAAGAACTGTCGCAAAGAATAGACCGACGCTTTGGCCGTGTTTGTTGGGCTTGGATCTCGTATCCTGTGACGGCAGGTACTTTCTTTGTGCAGTCATATGACTTGATAGGTGCAGTCGATTGTGAAGTTTGCGTGATAATGCACAGTCGCCACATATACAACTTGAAATTACTCCAGCCCGGCCAATCCCATCCAGCCTATAAACTTATAAAGATAATTCGGTATTATCAATCGGCATACTATCACTCGTTACGCCAACACGTGATTAGGCGCGCAGACGAGTCGATTTCCCCAGGCCACTGACTCTGGAAATAATTTAAGACCAAAGCAATTCGTATGTTGTAATCTACAACCGATCTACCGAGGTTGGAGTGTTCGATTCGGTCAAGCCATTCATGATCATTACTGTAGGCTAATAATGAGAGACTAAGGTGGGGAGTCGCGTCAAGATCTAGACAGCCTAGCTTGCCGTGTACCGACGCTAGAGCCATTGATAAAGCAGAGCTAAACAGTGATGCCCATGTGAGGCATGTCTTTATCAAAGACCACTTTCAGAGATCTTGATGTGCTGTCCGCAATTTCTAGCTCATGATCATCGGGAAATTATCGAAGTAGAGCGGCGCAGGCTTGAGTACATCGAGCTTCCGAGGCAGGTCAGAATAGGTTGGGGCCATGGCCGTGCCTCTCAACCGCCGAGTATGCAAGGACTCGGGGAGCCCCGCACAACACTAGAGCCGACAAGGGTATTGAGGGGTGCAGGGCGCATACTAGGATCCGCAGTCGCAGCCTCGCGCGCTGCACTAGTAGGCTACGGGTCAGGCAGACAAGCTGGAGCCATGTAGATCGCCGACGCCTGGCGTGGCCATCAAGGCCTAGAAGACGGGCAAGGGGGATCGTGCAGGTAGAGGCAAGGGACACTGACGCCTCGCATGATAGAAGCCGACCGGTTCATCTGATAGCGCGACACCTGGGCGTTGGACGCGACTAAATGCAGCGCGAAGTGGGTAGAGGCGATTGGCCGTCGGTCTCGCGAGAAAATGTCTCATTTCATGGCGATGTGCTAGAGGTATCGGCGTCGTCGTGTGTTCAAGCTTTGGGGTTACAACTAACTAGTGGCATTACGCAAGGGCGCATAGTCTGATATTCTGCGAGAGAAGTGGTCAGAGAAGGATCGTAACGTCAGTCCTTGACACTATCAAGCACATCATCACATCCAGGTATCGCTCATGGCACGTTGTAGTTTGAAGGCATGCCCTTTTACAAGCTGCTTATGTGGTGGCCGGAGCTGCGCCAATTTTCTGCCATTCTAGCAGATATGGACTTTGTTGCACAAGTCACCTCTGTTGAATGTTTGCCAGCTTTCTGTTTCCCACTTCTCTCCATCATTTGGCCGAACCTTAGCCCCACGTTCCGCACAGCCCTTCATGGCATCCGACCGACTGGACATCTGTTGGCGCGCTGACAGAAACCTTGACAGCCCTGTTTGTAACTACGACGTCTATTGTCAGGCACTAGATCCATTGAACTCTCATCTCGGCAGAAGTGTCCACGAGCATCTAGCGTATCAGCCCACACCACCCTGAATATTCTTGCATTCTGGATCCCAAGGTACCATGACGTCAGTCCTGTGTGTAAGTGGGTCACTTGTAAACATTGGCTTCGTCACAGAGCTTGGTGGGTGAATCCTTGACAAAGGCCGTCAACGATTGAAAGTCGGCACTTTTAACATGATTCAAAATACATTATTTACACCGTACAGCGAATAGACTATCAAGATAATGTCCAGTCCCATCCCTCCCGCCAACATGCTCCCAGTATCCCAAAAGTCACCCTCGGTAGAACCAGTGCCTAAAAGTGTGCTGACCGAAAATTTCTCCATCAACTGATTCGTATTCTGAGTATCCCAAAGCCGCAGTATTGATATTATCCTTGTGCTAGTACTTGCATATATCATAACACTTTATTCAGTATCCGTTTCTGTCCGTTGTCAACACCTTTACTCCATTCCCAAATTTTCTTATTGCAGTGAGAATTAGCCAAATCCCAAAAGATGCGTTGCTCGTTTCCTTTTCACTTGAAGCATGTAAAGATATTAAACGGCTTGATGAGTGATTATTCTTATATCCGCCTGATCATTGAAAGTGGTCGGTCCATCACGAATTTTCCGAATTCCAGGTCTTCGGAACGCCAATTTGCGTGGCAATTGGCCCAGAGTCCTGTCGACGCGAATTTCTCTGGGCCATGTTCATTTGTCTTAAGGTGTGTTGAGCCATTATTTTCGAGTATGAGTAGTGATCTTGGGTGAAAGGAGTCGCGTAATCTTCACTTTGGGTTGTATTGATATAAGAAGCGTGGCTGTTGAGAACGGTAGACATGATTGACGTTTGGTATGTTCTGCAAAGTGTGGGTATGTTCGTAGAGCAAGAGTCTTCTGAAATGATCTGATAGCTTCCACACAAGGGAGATGTCAATTTATAACAGAGTCGTCCTAAGCGATGCTGCCGGGATTTATGAGCCACACCCAGCCAACGACTGATCGGATGACGAAATTTTGAACCGCTAAGAGCTAGCTTGTCTCGTGACAGTTTAGTGCTGGTCTAGCGACAGCCTCGTGCCAGCCCGGTAATATATGTTGCCTAGCGATGGATGATTACATTCACGAGCCCCGGCAGAATTGATCTTTAGCCGTGTCATGCGCTCATTGTGGCCACTTTCTTAGCGTGCCTCGAACCGTGCTAGTGAGAACTACCGAACTGGCAACATGATCCGGAAAAATCTTTGAAAAATGCCCGTCTCAGCCCGGTTCAATTAAGTTGCTTTCAATACAATCATATTGAACAGAGCTAGTCCAATTGTAACTCATACCCATTTTCCAAGGAATCATACGAGTCCTCAATTCAATCTCTGAGTCATAGTGGTTTGTTTGTGTCTATGACATCATATATATGTCACCTGATCAGCCTGTTTGCTCTAGCACACCCAGCCCAGTATTTTCACAGCTCCGTCAGTACTATGCGTCATAAACCTTATATTAGCTCTTAAGGTAGAATATGTTTCAATCCAGCCTCACTTTCATCCGCACACACAAGAAAGGCCCGGTTTTCAAATCCAGCATTCACGAAACTCCCATTTGGGCTAACAGCATGACTCTTTCTCAGAAGAATGCAAAATGGCTAGCCAGCCTATCGTTTGTGGCCAATTTTTTCGCCCAGCTGTATGGCATGCTCGCCACCCCCAATATGAAGGACATACATGATGCCAATTTGTCTTTTTGGTCGCCACAGCCAATTCTAGTATTAATAATATTTATTCCACAACTTGTCCTTCAGTTGACCTGGCAGTTCCGTCTTTGGAAGATAGATTCACAATTTGATGCTGATAAATTTATAGAGGTTGAGCAAATGGTCGATTACGTACCCTATTATGCTTTAGGAAATCTATGTATTGCTAGTAGGCGGCATCAAATTTAAAATAAGTAGAGCTAACACGTTAAATCAATAGTATGGATGATTTTTTGGAAGCAGGCTGATCTAAAGACTGCAAACCTCTTTGTCATGGTCAACTCTTTCACTCAGTTGTATTACGTATTTGGCCGTCTACCACCCATGGAGGCTCAATCTATTTCCTCTATTCTCACGTATGCAGTGTCTACTACCCTGGCGGGAATCGGTATCTTGGACCTACTTCACAACGGTTCAGTGGCATATTTTGACCACCAAGGTCCAAATCTTACCGTCAAGATTTTAACGCTGGTTTTTTTCATTGCACTAGTTTATTTCAGCGATTGGCTTTTAGGGGCGTGTTTAGTGTACGATCTCGTAGCGCTCGCCATTGGTCAATGGGGCATCGGTCAGAAGTCTTGGGGTATGCTGTTGGGGGTATATGCCCTAGGGACAGCTTTTATCGTAATCCTGCAAAACTTTATACGGTATGATCAATTTTTTAGTACTTGTAAGGAGCACACTGACATTTCAAGACCTTCTTACTTTAAGAAAACTACTAGTGGATATACCACTGTTCCCAATAACGAATCCGATCTAGAGTAGTGATGGAAACCTAACTTAATTTCACTTAGACTGGGCATTACACTTACTATACCTCGTCTAAAACTGACATGATTCATGTATATCCGATGGATAGATATTAGTCTGCGTCTGATCTCTCGAGTCGCTAAAAATATCCTCGTGTCAGGCGTACTCTACAACAGTCTAAGATGAACCTTTTCTAATCCGATATGTTTGACTCCAATTCGAAGACAATTCAAGGCCTGATTTAGGGTTTAAAATTCACTCAATCCATGATATTTGAAGGTTCGGATATTTGAGGATAGAAAATTCTTCCATCTGGATATATTATAAGTAATCCTTATTGGCGTAAAAAATGAAAGTTATCCACACCATTGGTTATTGTAGCCTGTAAAGAGATATTCATCAAAATCTAGAGAACGTATAATATGAGGCCGTTCAGCTATTGGCCGTAACTTTTTTCAGCATCACTGGTTATGGGTTGTCAATTATGAATACCGCTATGAAACAGCGCGCGCGTAGATTTAGTTTCTGATTTAGCGTGTTGCGTAGGTTTCGGGGAATCTTGCCTGCTTCAAAACACTGATAAAGATGGGATCCTTAGAATAGGGCATAAAAAATCTAGCGACAACATGGCTTGTCCCTCACTGTCCATAAGAGCAAAATTTAAAGTTCAACAACTGGAATTTAGGAAACGTATCTAGTATTTTATTTATAGATTCTAGATGTCCTCTATAGTCATTGACTCAAATAGGACTATAATACAATTCTTACCTAATCTAAATCTTGCGACACTAAATATACAGAGGCAACACGTAAGTCTCCTCTAGGTTAAATACCACCGTACCGTGATCTGAAGACGAGAGCTTAGTTTCCACTGCCAGGGGGTAGAAGCGAGATTACGGAGTAATAATAAATCTAGAGAGGCAGGCGAGTGGTAAATTGGCAATCTTGTGGTGATGGAACTAGGATAAGCTAGCGATAAATATGTCACGCCTTGTTCATGTGTAGATATATGTATATGCATCGAAATCATCCTCTCTCATGCGAAAGAATAAGAAGTCAAAAATTCTGCCTATCCAAACTCTTACCTAACGTGCCAAGTAGGTTCGAAACTGCTATTTGATACTAGCTTATCAGAAGGTACAACTGGTAGCTAGCATTCTCGCTTCAACCAGTCGGAAAGTTGACACGGAGTTCACTTTTGAAGTGGAAGATTCTTGGACCATTGATACTCCATCAGGTGCGTCGTCGCCGAATTTCGCAGGAAAGAGCTGATCCTGAAGGAGTTGGCCGGCGCTCGTCCTCAGCCATCCAAAAGTGGGCTTGAGCGCTGGCAGGTCGTCGTCTAGAGGCTGAGATGCGTGTTGCGCAGGCTTGATCAAGTCAGGGCACCACGATGGAAGGCGAGCTCTGATGGACGGGAGCTCAATGCTCAACATGCCTTTTGCAATCGATCACTCCGCGTCGCTACATGGGGGCTTCAATCATGTCGCGGAAATTGCGTAGACCGACATCTAAGGACCAGAGCGTGAGAGCCTCGAACGGAGCTGCACGATAGATTGACGCCAGGAGGAAGCACGCCCATTCAGACCCCCACAATCCTAGCATTTAGGCCGAAGGAATTCGCCAGAAGACGCATGATGGCCCAAGACAGAGCGGCAGATCTGATGAAAAATTGACCCGTCTCAGCTCCGTCGTGTGAGTGAGGCAATGTCTCGCCGTAGCAACACGCGATCGGGGGGGGGGGGGTTTGTCTATTTACTTGGAAGTTTTGGGCTCATGCGCCAAATGTAAAACTTGGGGCAAAACAAGCGAGATTAAGCTGGGAAACCTCTCCTAATGTGCCGCGTCTCTTTTCACCATTGCTCACCCGAAGCGCCGCGGCACGTAGAAAAAGAGCGGAGGTGAAAAATAATGTAGGTATATGCGCAGCTAGGCAACATCTTTCCCGCCAGCCTTCGCGCCGTCATTCGTAATTCTTGCCATATTTACAATTAATGCTCCCGCACTCGACAGAGATAGCCATCACCAATAGAACTTTGGAGCCGTGACTCTTTCATCACCATCGTGCCTAAGAAGTTGACTCGCAACGTTATTTGCTGCCGTCTCTCTTCTGAGCTCTCGCGCCTGTGAGTTGTTTCTTTGACGTTGACTCAAGTGAGTAGGAGGGATCCCTCTTCTAGATACATTTCATGCCAGCGTCCGTAATGAAGACGAGCATGGCGCGCCTCAATGTGTCCATGATCAGGCCCGGCGACGAGGGTTTAGCGCAGACGTTTTGAGGGTGATGCTACCTTCAGTGGCTCCCGTCGACACACATACATGCCCTGATCCACAAATTGAACTTGATGCGTTTGTGACCAATGTTAAGCAGAACCTATCAATGCTAGCACACGAGCCGGCGATGAAAAGTCGAAAAGGGTATGTAGAGCTTCCCAAGCCGACGTACCTGCTCCATTTCCCCACACCATAGAGCGCCCTAATATCTATCTGACTCATGTCTTAACGCTCTTGATAATAGCTCGGGCCATGCGCGCTTACTGCAAGCGTCAAAATGAAAACCTCATCGGTGGGCCACCAACTGCCACTTATGCCAGAAGATCAGTATATCCTCACATTGCTACAGTAGTACCCTAGGTTAGCGTGATATATGGCTGAGCGCTTTCTAGAACACCATGTCCATCTTTGAATGATATCTCCCCGTAATAGACAGCTTATTCCCCGGGAGAATGGCGGAAACTGTAGCAAATAAGCTTCCGGCTCGCCAACCGGGCACTTGTTAGCTCATGCAACATGATATGTAAATTACAAATTTGGCCGGGGGATGAAGGTCGTCATCAACGTTGTTGACTGGCGTGATATATAGCGATGAAGATTTATTAATGTATGCAGTACACTTTATCCGATTTTGGGTGGTTTGGTGCTGCTTAGGTCTACGACTATCCAGGACACTGGCTTCCTCCCTGATCCACGCCACGCCTTGGACAGTGCTCCCATCCTCTTTTGTCACGAAAAAGGGTATCTGATAGAATGCCAGTGTTGGGTAGCCATGCGACTTAGTTATTACCCCTAGAATTTGCCCTCCTCTTGTACGGAACTTGTTCATTCGCGATAGATGAGGACACACAAAGGCACATGACTCGCCTCTTTTCAAGGTCCCTGCAAAACCATGGATGCGGCCGAGAGAGCTCAATTCATCCTTAGTTACCGAAGATATTTGAGACAACAATGGTGCCAGTTTACTGGGGCAATCTATTACAGATGAAATTTTATTTTCCTTGCGATCCATTCCTCTCTCCAATTCTGCTCTTAGAGTGTGCGGGGCCTAGATTGAGTCCAACACCGGCCGCGAGAGCCTCTATTGCCGATGAGCCTATGGCTCTCTCCATCACCAAACATAGCATAACGTAGATAGACTGGGCTGGTGTACAGCATGCACTCTCTATCGAGGCCTTTCCAGCACCTCCAACAGACCCTGGGGGAAGATTCGAGAGCGGTCAAAGAAGGTAGAGAGTCTCTATCTTACGTACACTTAGGTCTGTAGCTCCCGGCTGACCAGCCCCTTGGGAATCTTCACAAGGGTAGCTATGCCCTCTAATCTAGAGCTGATGTTGGTCTCGGAGAGGCCTGTGCCCAGTGTTTTTGATTTTTCCAGTAGTCGCACATGCATCAATGAACTTCATCACTTTGATTAAAGCCAGGGAACATGAAGGGCAACGGGCTCCAAGTGTATCATCCAGTGAAGAATTGTGGGGGGTGATACCGTTGAGAATTACATAGGCGGCGGAGTTACCCTTGGTCTGTAAACAGAAAAGACCTACATGTACTTAAATAGTCATAGACCCAAAAGAGCAATAAAGAAGAAGACCCCTCCAAGTGAATAATCCCGTAATAGTGCCTACTGCCAGAAACACTAATTGTTGGAAGTTAGAATAATTGGGGCTATCAAGTAGGCCACGCTGTCGATATACACGTTACTACAAATTCTGTACTTGGTTTCACTTCAGTAGTCACTTGAATCTTTTATTTTTGCCTCAGAGTTTTATTGAAAGTGCAGCTAGCTAGCTAGCTATGACAGAATATCAAAGAAAAGTACATAATAGATGACTCAATGTAAAGGGAGAGCACTCATACCTCGGCTTTCATTTGCAAGTACCACTGCGAAGTTATGGCAACTTATTCTTCACCCCAAGTCAACCCTCGTCTGTCAATGCCCACGCAGGGGAACGTCTCAAAAACCCTGAGTTATCCAAACATGCCTCCATCATCCATCAAATTTTCTCCGCACGAAATGTGATCTGAGATGTCTCCTTCCAAAGTGGAATAGGTGTCCAGGCTACTCAAACTATACCGGGGAACACTACCAGGAGGCGGACCACGGCACCTTCCATCGTTGGCTATTTCTTGTAGTTCCAGCTGCACTTTTGCAATCGAAGGCCTGGCGCGCACGGTACTCTTCAATTTGTGAAACTACTTCCCAAATTTTGAAATCTCACGCCCATCGAGATTGTATCCTTCCTGTGCATCATCCTGTAAACTTGTCCTGATTTTCCCCACGCTCATCCCACAGAGCTATCTCCCAGATTTGTACGCCACGCTTTGCTTCCTCCATCCGGTGTAAATATCGGCGTGGGCATATATTTGGTGACCAGCAGAGGCCAGAGGAATTCGAGACGAGATGTGGTCATTGGGGTGAGAATGTACTCGTAAACTTAATGAGACTTGGCTAGGAGTCGATCTCGTTGGAAGTGAAAAGTGGATATGGTGAATTATTATGAATCATTGCCTCGTGGGCCAACTTCTTTCGTATTGCGAAATTTGACTGGACTTGACTCTGGGAGAATATTTCATTCTCGGGTTCGCAGAGGGCACCGCGTACAGGTGTTCAGTCTTGTCCTCCTTGTATGACACCAAATGGGTTAGAGTAGATGAAGAAGAATGAATTATAAGTTAATGTTATTGTTTCGATATATTGAACATTGTTAGAATTTAGAATAATTGGGGCTATCAAGTAGGCC